AAAAAAGAGCCACAAAAATGAAAAGAAAAACCCATTTGATATGATTATCATTACGATATCGTTGTGCATCGCCTTTTTGCAGTAATCTTGAGAACAAACATGAGATTTATTCACTTGCGCAACAAACGGCGGCAAGTGAGGAACAGGCAAAGCAGCAACAGCAACAGCAACAACTACCTGAAACTAACAACGAAACAACAATTGCTAAACAACAAGTTGCCGAAACAACTAAAGCAACAACTGAAACAACAACTGCAACAACAACCGCAGCCGCAACAACTTTAGACAAACCCAAAGTGATTGAGACTGCTAACGAAACAACAACAACACCAACTCCAACAACTGCTGCTGCAACTAACCCACCATCAGCACCACCACCACCAACAGCAACAACAACAACTAAAACATCTAGTAACAACAACAACAACAACATCAATACCGTAACCTCAACTTTAGTTAACAAATCGCAGCAACTGCAAACCGAATTGCTTATCAAACGTGAAAATAATTCACCCGGACCGCGCACCATCACAGCACAGATCCTCAGCAACAACAACAACATCATCAACAACAACAACAATTTGTTGCGTATCGAAGAGAAACGTCCCAAATCGGTGACCGCCTCACTCATACGCAGCACCCCAGCAGCTGCTGCCCCGAAGAAGAATTCAATTGCTGCTCAGACGTTGCCGCCGACAACAACAGCAACAGCTGCCATATTGAACAACAATTTGCAACAGCAACAGCAACAACTGCAGCAACAACAGCAACAAGCACAAGATATGAATAAAGGATTCTTATCGTTCGCTGATGAAGGCCGAGGATTAACAAGTAAGTAGAACAAACTATACACATAACTAATCCCAACAACAACAACAACAACAACAACAATGACAAACAACCAGAAAGCTAACAAGTTGCATTATGCAAGTAGACAACCCCCCACGAAAGCTAAAAAGGTGTAAATAATAGACGTATATAAGGCTATGTAAATACTTATATACACCTATATGGCTGTATATAAGTTTCTGTATATAAGAGAGATAACTCCTGCTTGCCTGCTTAGTGCATTAGTGATAAGCAATCGTTAGTTGCAACTGCAATCAAAATTATCAGCTGAGGGCATTACTATTTAGTTCTAGAAAATATACGTAATGCAATAGGTCAATGTTTTTATATACATATATGTATGTATATACGAAAGGTTTCTACCTAGGACACTATAACAGTGTTCTTCAAGATTTACAGCTATTACAAATTTGCTAGATAGAAGCTCTGATTCAAATGAAAACTCCCACAAAGTTAGTAGTATATTTTAAAATATATACAAATATTATTAGTAGTATTTTTTACATCGATTTTCGAGCTATAATAAAGAGCTGATAAAATATGCCAACTATATATACAAAGAATTTATTGCTTATACAAATCGTAAAATTATGTATCTAGATTCTAGAGGCTTAATTGCTTTTAAAAAATTTATATGAAATGTGATCGAAGCTAATTTAGTTATAAATATTTAAATGGATTTCATTTCTATTTTGAAATATTACATTCTAAAGTATACATTCATTAGATTTTGTATATTTGTCCCATAAAAACTTGGAAATTACTTGTGTAATATTCAAACTGCATTTGAAGTGTGACCAGCTTATCTACAATGGAAAATCAATCAGGGAACGAATTCTTAACGTAGTTTATTTGAATATCAGTATTTATGCTAGTTAGTTTGCTATAACATTAAATCGATAACATCATTGCAGTTTAAGTGTGACCAGGTAATATAAAAGAAATGACTAAAAGTGTTATGTTTGCGGCATTTAACAGATAAAGCTTAGTTACGATTTTAAGCTATATTCATGTGCATATATGAAAATATATAAATCTAAACAGTTTGCCAGAAAGTATACTAAAAATATGCTATTTGATGCTGATATGAATTGCAGTTTTAAGTGTGACCAGGCAGTCAGCAGACTTGTAGAAGTAATGCAGTGCAGATAAGATTATAATGCAAATTGTTAGATTATGTATGTGTATATATATATATGTATGTATACATATTTGTAATATCAATATCAATTATATTAAGAATACACAAAAGTACGTTAGCATTTTGATTCCTGTTTGCTGTCTCTTGTTGTTATTGTTGTTATTGAACCGATGTTGTTTGTTGTTAAGTTGATAACCCCTCGAGTCCAATTTCCCGGTACAGAAATAATCCAAAATGTGCATTTGCCAAAGACCAAGGCTGAAGTCAGGCGTCTGTCGTGTGGCTGAATGTGTGTGTATATATGTATATGTATATGTATGTATGTATGTATGTGTGTGTGTATATATATTGTATGCATATTCATGCGAGTCGCGCCCGTTTCTTAGTTGTTTCTATATAGAAAAGTTAGGCAAGCGCTTGACGTGCGCTACTTGATGCGATTTGACGCATTGTCGTTACGTTATTTGCGGCAGTTTTAATTGGTTAAAATGTCAATCAGTCAGTCAGTCAGTCAATCAGTCCGTCAGTCTGCCGATCAGTTTGTCAGTTCGTCGTGTGCTTATCGCCGTTTTGTGGTTGCAATTTGCGCAAATCAAACGATTTATTTGTAAAGACAACAACAGCAAATGCACAGCGACAACAACAACAATAACAACAACAACAAGAGCAACAACAAGAGCAACAACAACTCGTTTGTATTTTGTAAACAAAATGCAAGCAAAACTAGCTACGCCATATAGTATATATAAATATATACATACATACATTTATATGTATATATGTATGTGTGTGTGTGTAAATGTTATGTGCATAAATGTGCATCAACTTTTGCCGGTTGGCATTTTTGCTATTGTTGTTGTTGTTTTTTTCGTATTACGTGCATTTGCTATTATTATTATTATTTGTTGTTGTTCTTAGCTGCTGCTTGTCATAATCATTTTAAATATTACGCATACGCCGCGTTTAACCCACAAAAGCCGCAAATACATTTCGTTTCGTTCTCGTTTTTTTTTTTTTTCTTTTTTTTTTTGTTCGTTTGTTTCATTTGCTCGCTTGAGCCAATTAATATGGTTAAGCGATTTGGTGTCTGTCGTCCAGTTTGTTGGCGCGTGTTGCCCAGCTGCCTCTATGGCCGTAGATTCCCAAGCTTGTGTGTCGCCTCTGACATCTGTCAGCGGCACTGATCGCCCACACTTGTGGAGCAGCCTTCTACCTTTCGTTGGGATTTCGATTTTTTTCTATTTTCATTTTTGGTTAGCGCGTGCTTTTTGGTTCCGTGCTGCAGTTCAGTTGGAAACTGTCTCCAAATAAGAGATGGGTTATATACTCTATACCCTGTAGCACTTCAATTTGAAGAGGGTGCTTTAGAATTGAGATTTTAATAGCAGTTTTCCCATTTTTTTTTTTTTATATAAACCGATAAATATTGATTTTTCGTAGATTTTCATATGATGTGATTTATTTAAATATTAATTAATTTTATTTATTTTAATTTATATCTAGAATATATAGTAGTAATAAATATCGTTTCGTCACATGATTCTATAGAACTTATTCTGCAGTTCAATAGTTAAATATATCTGGATCGTCTCCATTTAAATTGACTTTGTACTTCTTTCTAATATCGTTAAATATCGATGCATTCTGATGATTAGTCATAATAAATGAGCTGCAAATCAAAAGCACTAAATATTGTTTAATGATCTAGATTACGTAGTGGTCGATTTCTTGATAAGAGTGATGCATATAAATTAATTATATGAGTATCGATTTATAACCGGAATTGCCAGAGGTAGTAAATGTTGCGTCTTTGTGCTGCACGTTAATTTTGACTTCGATTTACGCCGTCTCTCATTGGGAAATCTTGCCTTTGATGCGTACTATCAAAATAATGCTATTAATTACCCCAGCAATTTCTTTTGTTTAAGCTCTTTTAAAGCGCATCTCTCAGTCGATCATTCGTGCCATCACTGAAGTTTTTCTTTTATTTTTTTCCACACAAATTTTTCTTGTTTTCTGTTGACATTTGGTGCTGGCTGCAGACGCCGCAAATACTTTAGTTTTTTATTTCTATTGCTTCGACTTTTTTTCTGCTCATTTTTTTCTGTCTATATTTATTTTGGTTTAACGTGGAACGTAAATAAACAGGGAAGCACTTATTATATTTATTTTCGTTGGAGATAACCAAAAGAATTTGCCAGTTATTGGAATTTGATTTCAGCTCATCGCTTGATGATTCGAACAAGTGTTATATAATGTGCTATAATACGGCATTGTTGAATCTTGAAAATACATTTTGTAAACATCCAATAGAATTGTTAACTTTGTTAGCATTCACTGAGCATGATTGAGCTGAGTGAATGAACTATCGCCAAACTATCGCTTAATTGCCACGAGTTTGGTTTAATCAATGTTTATTTTTCGTTGTTTTCTGTCCACGGCTGTACGGGCTATGCGTAGGCATCTAATTCCGCATCCAGAACACGCGCTGATACGGCATAAACAGACGCATAAGTAGGTGCCTAATCGCGACCTCTAGAACACTCAAGCTCTTAAATGGGGAGGCGAGCACAACGGCGCTTAAATAAAGATGCTATCAAAATTTCTATACACTGTTCACGGTGTGAGGAAAGAGGGTATAGGGTTTACGAACTTAATATTTGTTATTAGACTAGGTTATGGTTGGGTATCGTATGACAATGTACGCATATATATATAGATAGATAACAGGAAAGGAAAAAGATATATCGTTTATAAGTATTGGTAAAGTTATGGATAAGCATATCGATATGTATAGAGGGATAAGGATAGAGACTGGGATGGATATGAATATGGATACATATATAGTAATGAAAGGATGCATAAAATATAGTTAAATAAAGACAGATAAAGATAGATAAAGATAGAAGCAAACATATTGATAATGATATACAATCGATATATTTTTAAATACAGATATGAATATCGATATTTGTAGATGCTCAGTATTCAAATTTAAGTTGGGAGTCGATTCATTGGACTTTTAGTTTTACATTAAAAATTGGAATGACTTAGTCTTGTTACATACTCGTGGTAGAGTATTAGGCAGTCGGCTTACAGTTTTTATTTTCAATAAAAATTGTTTTTATTTTTTTCGCCTTGCTTTATTTTAAGTGTCTGTGTCCGTTCTTATTCTACGCTTTTCTTTTGATTTGGACTAATCCGTATTCCCTATTTGGGAGGCGACTAACTACGTCATTATTCTGTTGATCAACAACATTATTATCATGCGCATGCTCATCATCATCATTGTCATCAGYATCGTCATCAGCAACATCATCATCATGATGATTTATTTAAATTGAAACTGTGTCGAGTTGTCGAGTGAGTGTTTGGCTGCTGGGCCAAGTCACGCGTTAGACTAGACTGACTCGTATGTGTGTGTGTGTGTATGTGTCTGTGTGTTAGTCTAACAAGCACTCGTTATTCACTGAATGGTTATTCTAGAAAACTTTCGAATTCAGATTTTCAAGTGCATCGAATGTGGCTCAAGTGCAGCTGCTGCAGCTTGAGGCACGTCACGAGATGCTACGACAGTCACTTTTCAGTTTTCGGTTTTTAGTTTTCAGCTTTCAGTTTTGCGTATTTTTTGGTGCTTGATTTTTTATTGCCACAGATCAAGTAATTAGCTTGTGCTCTAGTAAAACCTCAGTCGCTCCACTCAGCTGCTAAAATTTGTTGCATTGAGCACAGTAGTTTTTCCCCCCTCGCTTTTCTGTTTTCCGTTTTTTGTTTTTAGGTCTACGACCTTGCACTTTACGTTAACAATTACGAAAAATAAAAAGATCATAAAAAACAAAAACACTTTGCTAATATTTACAAATGGGCACTTGGTGGGTTGTAGGTCCAACCCGGCCCAGCCCGCCCTGGCTCTGTGTGGGGCTCACTTGGCCAACTCGCATTATCGTGTGCCATAATTTCACTTGTTAATTTATCGTTGTTGTTGTTATTTGTAATTTTTATATGTTTTTCGCTGCTTGGTTAGTTTTCCGCATAGTCCCTCGTCGTCGTCGTCGTCGTCGAGTAGCACTTGTGTGCCATAATTATAAGTCGCACTGTAGGGGGTCAGCTATAGATCCCCACCTGCCCACCCATTCGTCCCGCTAGCTAAGTGTTTGCATTGTTAATTAATTTGTCAACAGCGTGAGTGTGTGTGTGTGTGTGTGTGTGTGAGATAGTCTTTATATGGCAAGTCGAGTGCATATTTTATACAATATATATATATATAGAAATATATATGTATGTTAGGTATAAACTGCAGTAGATCGTGTCTCAAAGCTTTGTCAAGCCCTTAGCTGTTTTTGATTTTATTTATTTTATTTTTGTTATAATGTGAGAATTTTGAGTTGAAGCAGTTAATAGGGTAGCTAAAGTTTTTATGGGGTATTTATTCTCTTAATCAGACTAAGCGTTGAGTTAATCTGTTTTTGCTCAACTATATGCCTGTAAAATTTTCCAATTTTGCAACAAAATTTTGGCTTCTAATTATCAATATCATTTTATAAGCTACATATATCCAATTCCAAGATATCTCGTATATTTGCTATAGGAAAAGAGCAAAAGAGTTTTCCTAGATCCCATAGTTTCTTTAAGTAAATTCTGGCACACTTCCCCCAAAGCGTATTCAAACTCTGTATTGCTTTGCTTTACAAACGTGAACAATCGCGTTTGTTGTCGTTGGTCATTGTAAAATAAAATAAATATAGTATAAATTATCAATTGGTGCTTAAAAGTTATTGGAAAGCCTAGAATATTGTTTGTATAGAACTTGAGCTAGAGATAAGATACGTTTATTTGTTGTTGTTGTTCTGGTTGATTTTTTCTATATACATAGTTGCTGGTAGAACAAGTGTAAAAACAGCTGAGCAATAGAATGAAGATTCAGAAGTTCTCAACTGCTTGGAATAGGTAGAACTAGATACAGATATATATACAGATATACAGTTATATGTATGTATGTAGTCATGAAAAAGTCGTTGGAATAGTGCTATTTATATATCTGAAAACTTTCGTAGCCTGATAAAAAACCTCGTATATACTGCAAGCTCAACTAGTTATACTAAATAAAAGCACAAATATATATATATGTAAATATATACAAATTGTAATTAAATCGTGTGAGCTGCTTATACCGGTTAACCGCTCCCCCGAGTATTGTCCATATAGTATAGATGGCATACTATATACATACATATATATATATATTGTATAGTATTATGATTGTTGACTCTGAAGTTTTGTGTCGTGACGCGCATCCAAATCTCCGGGTTGATTGCAAATGGCGATAAGACGGGCGCATCTCGGATCTTGCGGTTCTGGGGCCTTGACTTTCAGTTAGGGTTAGGCCTCGTTAGGCTCAGTGCATTCAAAAGCAATGTTTGCCCCTGTTGCAGTTCGATGGGTCGTACGTCAATGCTACACCTTAATCAGTTGCAAAACTTTTCCGATGCTGATTAATAAGACAAAAAAAAAAAAAAAAAAAAGCAGAAAAAAAAACAAAGAGTGCCTGTCAAAAAGGCCATTAAAATCTTTGCGCTAGCCTAGCAATTGTAGCACATAAATCAACTAATTCAGGCAGCCGAAAAAATAAGAGAGGAACAACTTTTATTAGACTCAATTGGAAGCTGTCAATTGGAAGAAATGAAATTTTGTCAGTTGTAGGGAGTGGCGCCAGTACAGTCTGCCTCTGCTTGTCTTGTGGCTTCAATTAACAGCAACTTTTGTAAAATTTTTTTTGGGGAGACGTTTGCACTTAGCACCAAGTTTTGACAGCTCTTTCCCTAACTCAAATCTTTATATACTAAATTTAACTCATCCTCTTTCTACTTCTTCTCCTTGCTTTTGTAGTGCTGAAAGAGGAACCGGATGACTTGTCGCAACAGTTGGTCAACGGCGCGTCCGGCATTCACTTGGATGAGCCCTTTGGCGAGATTTTGGTGGGCTTGATGAACTCCTGCCTGCTGCCCGATGAGATTGGCTCGCTGGACTCGACCACCTGCTCGACGACGGGCAGTGTAACGCACTATCACAACAACAGCAACAGCAATAGCAGCAATAGCAGCAGCAACAACAACAACAACAGCAACAACAACAGCAGCAACAACAGTAGCAACAGTTACAACAGCAATCGTCAGAGCTTAAACACAGCTGCAATTGTTGCGGGCGCAACTAGCAGCAGAAGCAACGGCCACCACAACAACAGCAGCAACAGCAACAGCAACAGCAGCAGCAGCAGCGGCAGCAACAGCTGCAACGGCAGCAACAGCCAGCAGCAGGAAAATGGCAACAGCAACAGCAGCAACATTGATCCGCTGTTCAACTATCGCGATGAATCGAATGACACCAGCTGCTCGCAGCATCTGCACTCGCCTAAGGTAGGCAACAGTGGCAACACTTTCGATGCAACTCAATCTCTAACTCTCATCTCATTTGCCTTACAGACGCCCGAGGACGGCAGTCTGCCGTCGCTGTGCAGCCCGAACTCGCTGTCGCAGGAGGACGACTTCACGTTCGTTGACTTTGGCATGCGCGCTCCTTATATACCCATGGGCGATGATATGCCGCTGCTGACCGAGAGCGATCTCATGTGGTGTCCGGCGGATGATTTGCCGCCCATCGTGCCCAAGGATGTGGACAGCATGCAGCAGCACTTGCAGCAGTTGCACCAGCAACAGCAGCAGCAGCAGCAGCAGCAATATAACAGCTACCAGCAACCGTTGCAACAGCAATCGCAGCAGCAGCAACATTTTTCCAGTTCGCTGTGCTCCTCGCCTGCCTCCACAGTGTCGTCGCTGTCGCCATCGCCCGTGCAGCAGCAACAGCATCAACAGCAGCAGCAGCAGCAACAACAACAACAACAACAGCAGCAGCAACACTCAAATGTCTACACCACTGGCTCCAGCGAGCTGGCAGCCTTGCTCTGCGGCACCGGCAATGGCACGCTCTCGATTTTGGGCAATATCTCTGGCGAGGATCGGCTGCAGCAGAATGAGCAGGACTTGCGCAGTTTCCAGCAAATGCAGCCGGCGCTGCAGCTGGAGGAGGAGGAGCAACTCGAACGCGAGCAGCCGACATATTTCCAGCAGCAAATGTTGCTGAGCATTGGCAGGCAGTGCAAGAAGGAGAAGTTCGATGTCTCATTGTCCAGCAGCCTATGTACCTCAATAGAGGATGCATTTCACAACGATTACAGCAAAGATTGTAAGTATCATGGGGGATTGCAGGCAGCTGGCAACGGCAACAGTCTCAAAGGCTAAAAATCATAAATCGAACTCATAAATATGTCCAAGGGATCACAATTATAGAGACGTGAGTCGAGTCGACTCGCATAGTTTTCCATGGCAGCCAAATAGGAAAAAACACCTACGCGACGACAATAGACAGCCTGATGCCGGCTAATTATGTAGCTTTTCGATTTTCCCCTCACCGATTTTCCACGCACACGAACATTTCTCACACATTTGACAATTTCCAACATTTACTGCATTTGGAGAGGCCTAAATTGTGGCTATGCGTGTTTATTAATAGAGCTGAAGCAGCGCTATGCTTAAGACACGTATACCTTATACATTAATATACATATATATGAATATATATAGAAGAGTATATATCCAGTTGATATTTGTATATATACATGTGCGTTTGTGTGTTTGTAAAAATAGATGAAAACATTGCCACAAATTTCCACATTTATTTAGCATTTAGTTGAATCTTTAAACAACTGCAGCGGGCATTTTGATTTCGAGAGACGATATGTGACGTTAGTGTCTATAGAACTCGGCGGATTTTCCTTAATATATTTAATCTGTATAGCTTTGATTATTTATCAAAATTAATTTCAATTATTCTTAAATCAAATTCATATACTAGATAGACACACGACACTAAACTAAAACATTTGCTAAATCTTTCCGTCTCTACTCACTCTCCCTCTCTCTATCTCTCCCTTCTCCTCTGCAAAGCTGACGAAAAAGTGAACAGCGCATGGGGTGTGAGAGCTAATTGATGTCGAGCGCTCTTCAGGCCCAAATTGTTGCGACAATTACCAATGGCACTGGTTGCTGTTGTTGTTGTTGTTGTTGTTGCTGCGCTGGTATTTAGGAAATGCTGTGTAATTTTTTTTACACATGCCAATGGGCGGGCGGTATACGCCTCTTACCTTTGACACATGTCACACAGCGCCTCCACGAAGGTGGCTGTGATTGATTTGACTGGGTCTTGAGCCTGGCCCTGTCAGGGCAGACGCTAACTGTCGTTTGTTTAGATGATTCCTGCTTTTTGTTTTGGCATATAGACAGATGTCTGCGGAGTGTTTTTCCTTTTGTATATTCCTATGTCTAGCATAAAGTGGCCATATCTTTGCATATCCAAATATATATATAGAGATAAAAAAAGATGGATATATATACCCTTTGCTTCGTGTCGTATAAGCATATATATTTCAGTTTTTTTGGCACACACGCAAGTTTTCACGAATAAAAAATACAAATTTATAGAAGATTATTATTGTTTTAAATTAGCATCAATGTCATGGGCAAGAGGAATTAATTGCTCGTCTGTTTGCCAGCAGCCGCAGCAGCAGCAGCAGATCGTACAATCATCCAATAAATTCCGGGTGAGAAAAGAAGATTAGATGACAATGTAGATGGATCTAGTAAATAGTGGATAATCAGCGAGAATGCCCAGTGACTAGTTTCTATATGAATATATATGTGAATATGTATATACTATGGAGAGATATGTTTCTGCTTCTGCTCTATGCTTTAGATTACATATAGATCTAGCTTTAATACATTTAGCTCTAATTAGAGATGTAGAACTATCGATATTGGGCGATAGCAAATTGGAGCCTCAAATATATGCATACAAAAATAAAATAGAATCGATATTTATCGATTTTTTAATGTATGAGCAGGAAATTATCTCTAACTTCACTGAGCATATTTAGATATACTTTATGCCCATTTAAGGATATTTATGGACTTTTTTTATCAAAAAAAGTTAATGAGTAAAATTTGATATAAAAGTCTCTGATTTATGGCCTCTTGGATAACATTTTTAAAAATTGACTCAGCTATATATTATTAATGAATTCGATGACGACTGCCGCTGTCTGTATATACCTGTAAATACCCTATACAACCGTTGGGTGCATAAATTCTATCAGCTCTATGCCACAACGGCTTTTATAGCTTGCAAAACTTTCTAACTTTTTTCATTTGATTGCAATTCTTTAGCCACCAATTTGGATTGCTGGAGCGATTTGTTGCAAATGAATGTGGCTGTGCCCAACAGCAGTCCCGTGGTCTCTCCAGCACCCAGCAAAGTGGCAACGTTGCCGCTATTACAACAACAACAACAGCAGCAGCAGCAGCAGCAACAGTTGCCACAGCAACAGCAGCAGCAGCAGCAGAATATCATATTGAATGCCGTGCCATTGATAACCATTCAAAACAATGCGACAATGTTGCAGCAGCAGCTGCAACAGCAGCAGCAATCGGAGGAGGAGTTGCAGGAGTTGATGCTGCCCAGCAAGCAGCCTGCCAAGAGGCTATTGAATGGCACCAAGGCAACCATACGCCTGGTGGAAAGCAAAATTACGCCCGCAACAAGGGCAACTCTGGTGCAAACGCTGTCGCCACAGCAACATCAGCAGCAGCAGCAGCAACATGGCAATAAGCGTCATTTGAATGGCCAATCAGCAGCTGGCAATGTTGTGGAGTCGAAGCGTCTGAAGAGCGGAACACTCACTCTGGAAGTGCAATCGCCACAGCTGCTGCAGCAGCTGATGGGCAAGGAGCAACAGCAGCAGCAACAGCAGCAGCAGCAGGCAAACAAGCGACACGCATGCGAACGCTGGTCTACAGCAGCTGATGCCAAGCAACAGAAGCAACAGCAGCAACAGCAACAACATCATCAGCAGCAGCAGCAGCAGCAACAGTCGAATTCTGTGCTAAAGAATCTGTTGGTTAGCGGACGTGATGTAAGTGCCGGCTATTGCATTGTGCCGATGCGGCCCAAGAAGCAGCTGGCGAAGGTCTAGAGCTGGATGCGTGCCACAGCCACAAACTGAAAGATTGTGTGTGTGTTAGTGTACAATTCGAACGGACAAGCCCATTTCTACAATTTGTGCTTTTGTAAATGGAACGATTTTATAGACAAGAATAACAAAGAAACCCTCCCGCGATACTATCCTACCCATCAGAAATCATCCAATACTTACGCCCCCGCCCAGCCCCACCCCCAACCCCCACCAACTTAACCAGAACCCAAAGCCGAGTGAGCGAACGCACCGAATGTTGCATGCAACGTGCAGCAGTTCGCGTGCGTCAGAGCTCAGCTATAGTCGTAAAATAAATAAATACTTAT